ACCTGCCCTAGACTAGATGGTCCTGCTCTGGCAGGGGGGGTGGACTTGATGATCTCTGGAGGTCACTTCCAACCCCTAACGTTCTGTGATTCTGTGAACTCACCTTGCCAGTGACTGAGTAGAGCCAGATATTTCTGATGACGAGCTTGCCTATGCAGTAGACTTCATAAGCATCATCACTAATTACTTTTCCCAAAGATGAATTGTGAAGACCCTTGTTTGCCGCTCTGTAAAAATAAGTGACTCCAAGACTGGGTGAAGATATGAACAATAGCTTTTAAACTTCTTTTGAAGACAAGAGGATGAGTTTGGTTTCTCCAGACATGCAAAGCCAAAGTAATTCTGAAACACTCTTCTTCAGAACCTGCTCCCAGTTAGAGTACATATATCTGATATTCATTTTGGGCAGTTGGTTATTGCCATTTAGGTAACTTTCTTTACAAGATCATCAAGCCAGAATCAACACTGGGTATAGTAAGTTTATACGGTACTCAAATTATATGTGCTTTCAGTTAATTTCTGTGTTGAACAAGAACACAGCAACACAGACGGTTTTGATAACAAAAAAAGAATAGCAGTGCATTGTAACACAGTGTGAATACTCAAATTCTTTCATTGGCTTGCCTCTCATACCTACACCAGAGGTTGTTTTCTCAGATGTGACCCACTCTTTAATTGTCATCAGGCTCTTCTACATCAAGTTTCTTATTCACACAATTAATTTTCAAAGGATTAAAATCGTAAAACTGAAAAATATCTTAAAAAATATATGTAAAACTTCATGTAAGAATTTCTAACCCCAGCCAAGCCTGCACATTTTTAGTATGGCAACCAATATTAAATAGAATTTATGTAAACCCATCTTTGTCAATGAAATATGGTCTATCAGCTTAAGAGATTGCATAATGACTCATATTTGCTGTTTTTGAGCATGCAGCTCAGGTTTTTTTCCACCTTCAGCTCTAACAATTATATAATTGTTTTGGAAGAAATGACTGCCCTTCTGAGTAGTGTTCTCTAAAAGACAAAATAAAGAAATGGAAGGGGAAAGACGAATTTCCACAACCAGTTCTATTTGCATTCAACAAAACCTGCACAAATTGCCTTCCGATGCAGTGTTTGGATTTCAGTAAAATTCTAAAAATGTTCTGGAAAAAGATCTTAAATTAACTCCAGGGAGTTTTCCATTTAAAAATGGAGTTCCATTCAAAAATTGAGTTCATTCCAAGTAGCAACAAAAAGTGAGTTTGACTCTTCCACGAACACGTATTTTCCTGTTTGCGAACAGAGCACACTCTGTGACAGCACACGGAGCTTGCTGGGGACTTGCTCCATGCACCAAAGGCTTGTCTTCTGGGAGACGACAGCACCAACACCCGACCAACATTTAACTGCTATAAACTGTAAAAGGAAGAAACTGTTCCTTTCAAAATACAAAAGGATTTATGAAAAACCAGTTATTTGTAATTCTGAAACATATTAGTGCACAATCTTCATTATTTGCAAAGGTTTTACTGTTCTTTAAAGGTTTTTTCACTTCACGCTTTCTCACTCGCTTCTTTCTCAGGTCTTCGAGAGCGGGTGTTTAGAGTAGTGATACATGCTTTCTAGGATTTCTTCATGTATTTTAGTCTTACAAAGTCCTATACCCTTGAAACTGAGTAGCAGAACAGAATAGCTGAAATACTAGTGAGACCATTAAGGCACTTCTGATGGTTTTATTTCTTACGTTTCCTGATTTGTACTTCTGAATGGCCCTATGCTTGTGCTACAGCTGCACTCTGGTGATAATAAACACTCTGCACTTCTGTCTTTTACTTCCAAAAACATCGTTCCTATGATATACAGTAGTAGTTACCTATGGTATCTTTCATTTAGATTACAACCTTGTGTAGAAAGAAAGCACATCATATAATGCATACAGACAATAAATATCAAGAAACACATGAGAAGTAATCTCTTTTTCCTCTTTAGGTCAGCTGGGAACCTTCCAAAACATCAGGGTTATGACTAGAATCATGAGAAAGAAAGATCAGTCAATCAACCAAAATAAATATCAAACATACTGCTTAATACACTGAATGTAATATATAGCTCACAAGGTTTTTCTGATTATAATGGTACATCATTAAAAATCTACTAGATTTCAAGCTGCCAAACTATCTTGAGATATACTGAGATCAGCTTTTGTCCTGTGCTGAAAAAATAAACACATCAAAGACACCTAGAAAGAGAGTGCCTTTCACATTTGTAATGTAGATCAGTCTCAATGAGCTCCCAAAGGACTTCTGCCCAAATCAAAATATAATTCAATGCTCTAGTTACAGCTAAACACGAAGAGGTTTTTCTCTCATACTGCAGTTTTGGTAGCATGGAAGGGCTCAAAACCAACAGGTGAATCAAACAGAAGATTGAATCAATCTGGCTAAGAGTACTTTCTGCTCACAAAGACTCTGACAGAAATCAGACATAATCTGACAGAAATCTGACAGAATGTGCATCCTGTAAACAAAACTCATGGTGATGTGAGCTGAGAAATACTCTGCAATCTAAATCTGAGGCAGCAGGAGGTGAAAGATACAAGAGGCAATGAACATTCACAGCAGAGATAAGCCAAGTTCTAAGGGGTTAAGGGACAGACAGGTTATCTGTAAGAAAACTGAATGAGTTCCTGACCCTGAAATAGAAATAAAGATAGTATGGTAGGTCTGGAGGAGTCTCTTCTAGATGTGGCTTTTGTGAGAGAGTCAATATCTCTCTATTAATAGAATCAGTAAATACTTCCTGACTAAATATATAAAAAGAGTATACTTAAAACCAGAGGCTCTAAACAATACTTGTATTTACACTTGGTAGGATGGAAGGCATCTCTGAAGCTTATAATTAGGACAGAAAACAAAACAAAACAAAACCAAAACAATACATGAAAATCCCCACAATGTTCTACTAATGATTTATATCAGGGTTTCTACAACCCATTACAGTAGATTTTTATTTCCCATAAGTAAGATCGGTCATTAAACCCACCAACTACATTTCTGTGCAAGGTAGGTTAAAATGTGATGTCTTTTTTCCAGATTTCTTCACCCTAACATAGGCAGTTATCTGAATAGCTGTATTTCTCTACCTGTCCAAAAAAGAGAAGCTGGAACTAGTAGAAGCCAGTAGATCATTCAGTTCTGAGAAATACAAAAGCTAAAATCCAGCCTGCCTTATGGGAAAGTGTTGGATCCAAAAGGGGAGATTGTAACATGATCTATACATGTGCATATACATTGCCATAGGGGAACTGAAAACACAGAAAACACAAAACTTGTTTCCTCTCCCAGTGATGTTTCACCAAGAAAGCCTAGTATGACAACACTTCCCCTGGACAAGTCACCCTCTACAAGCCTGTACACACATTTATACGAGTGCTTTCCATTCTATTGGAAATTGTAATTTTCTTCCAAAATTTTCTTCACAAACAACTGTTTTCCAAATCTGCTACATTTTATTCTTCAGTGAATCAGAATCAAATGTATAATGGAAAAGGAGACAATTATCTGAAAAGTATCAAGTAAATCTATTCTGCTTTTAGATAGGATTCAATATTTAAAATGTATGTACTTGTATCAAATTATCTTAGGACACCTTTTTATTATAAGAACTAAGATGAGAAACTTTCCAAATAGAAGAGAGAAGACCAAATGTAAGGGATGAACAATGGAGTAGAATCAGGAAAAAGGAGGAAGCTAACCTGAAGACATGGCAAATCTTTTCTCTGCTTTATTTCTCTCTCCCCCAAATCACCAATGAAAAATACCAAGTGAGAGAAATAGAGTCTAAATTTAAATACTACTTTAAACCAAACAGAACATCTATTAGAGTCATCAGACCTGAGATATGTATCTCATTCTCTAAACAAACCAAGACAGTGTTTTTATGCTTTTGGATTTTAAAAATATCTTCATGAGGTGACTGTAATTGCAGTTAAAAACTAGACACTTTCATTTCTTATGTTGAGACTTCATCATTCTTCAGTAATGTTGCTTCCCGATGGAGTCTGGGTTTCCTGCTTCTTTTTGGATTTTGTCTAACTGCACACCAAAGCCATGGCAGCAACCCATGCTTTATACAAAAGCCTAACATTATAAATCATGAATCATTGAAATCAAACAAGTATCCTGCACTAAGAACAAGACACCAGGAGTCTCTCAGATCACAGACCAAAAGCATTATTATGTCCCCCCGATAACCGCTTAACAACTGGGTGAAAACCTCTTTTGTCTAAGGAATTGTTTGTCTATCTTGGGAATTTATGTGCACGTTCTTTCTGGAGTTTAGAGCAGTTCCATACAATGTTTTTTAACAGTAACTTCTAGGTAACAATGATGATGAATTTGTAACTCCATATGAAGTTTATGAAGCATCTATTATTTACTACGAATAGAAAGAAATATGATTACAAATAAGAATATAATTAAAAGTGACATTTATCCAGATTTTTATATTCATATAAAACATCCAATTTAAATTACGAGTAAGTTTTGTAATCTGATTTTATTAAATAACAAAGGCATAAGAGTAACAGTTCAAAATGGATAATTAAAAAAAAAAACTGATCAAAGAAAAAATGCTGACTTTGGATTTAAATTAATTTATATTTATGGACAAAACATAAGAGATATCAGCAAATCTAAGAAAGTAATACAGGACATTACAATTTAGAGAATCAAAACAAATTAACAGTTTAATGAATATTGCTATATTAACTTTTGAAGTATCCCACAGAGAAAATTCTATTCAGGTGGAATTAATTCTATATATCTTTAAAACATATATAAGAGAACTTATAAACTATTGCTTTAAAAATGCATAAGAATCTAAAGTTAGATTTAGATATGAATCTAGACATCTATGTACGTTTAGATGTGAATTTAAAATTTTCTTTTAATAAGAAACAACTGAGGTGTTTGAATGATTCTTAACTTCAAGAGTTCATTTACTGCATTTTCTGATTACTGATTTTTTAAAAACAAAGCAGCTCCACACTGAATCCACTGGTCCTGGTTTCCTCCACAAGGTACATCAATATTTGTCACCACATGGTCTCTCTCCACGCTAGTGTAGACTGGTAAAGATATGCATTCCTCTGGAGAATAGGGGCCATATGCAGCCTGTCAACAGACAAGCATTTAGTTAGACAACAGAACATGAGGAAGGAATAATCCACAGGGACGAGGTACCTAAAGCCCGATCCTAACATACAGTTTAGACACTGCAGCTTTGGAGAGGCAACTCTTCACCCAGGCTGCAAAGAGCAAGGATTACTAACAAAGCAGAGACTTCAGAAAGTGCTCTAGACTACTCCATAATTAAGCCTCTAGTTTTTCTCTCATTTGTTAAACTGAAACCACAATAAAGTATGCAATAGAGGGGATCCCATGAACCACGTATCACAATCTTCATTCAGCTAAAACCACCCAAAATTATATGTCAAAAGCTTCTGCAAAGCAGGGGCAAGGGAAGTGATGAACAGCTCTGGGAGGGGAGGAGGTCCCTTGGGAGCACGGGTGCTGTACTGCAGGGAGCTGCTGACCCGGGCAGGCTGGAGTCCTGGGGCAGGCAGTGCTTCGGGCAAGCCCTGCTGCCTCGCCTCCTCCATCCCTGCAGCATCACCCTGCTGCTGCTCCTCTAATGCAAGTACCCCAGACACAGGTCACAGCTGGGTCTGCAAGTGGGAGACTCAGGAACTTGACGCTTTCCAGGCTGCTTTATGGATTTAAACAATGATTTGTAATGTCCACGAATCCAAATATAAATTTTTTTCTCTGGTACAGAGAGCTACTAGACCTTAGGGCAGAGCCTCAGAGGTCTCTCACTTAATGCAGGATACTAAGAGGAGCTCAGAAGTATTAACCACAATTTAGTTAGACCAGGACTTAAAACAAACAGACAAAAAGCTTAAATTCCCTAGTCCTTTCCATATACTTCTAGCACTTCAAGAAATACAAGCATATGTCACAAGTTACAATATTAGTTAAAAAAAAACCTGTGTGGGTTTTGGTTTGTTGTTTTTTTTGTTTTTTTTTTTTTTTAATGCCTTTCGTCCTAATACTTATCAGAGTCCCAGCTGGGGTTCTTTAGAACTTCTGGAAAACAGGCCATTGCCATTAAGTGCCTAAACAGGAAATTGCCAGGTTAACTTTAACCATTCAGATTTGAACTGAGTGCTTTGAACTTCCAGCTCAATTAATTTATGATTTGTATTTTTTGATATATGTATTTTCCTACTGCAGAGCATGAGCAGTACTACTACTACAAAGATTACAGTTATACTGTAGGCACTACTTAGGGAAGGACCTTGCTTGGAGCTTTACCCCTCAGTCTGCATCCTGAGGAGCAGGCCATGCTCTGCTCTGAGAACAGTAACAGCTCCGCTCTGCCTTCTGTACTACAAAGTGTGTGCACCCTGGACTTAGTTTCCTTCTAGGGCTTGCACAGGTCATTGTCTCTATGCATGGCTATAGAACTGAGCTCAAAGACTCCATCTAGACTTTCTACAGCATGTAATTTGCATTTAAGCCGTGAGGTATTTATTTAACCTAAATAATTCAAGGTTTGATTCAACTGATATATATTAAGATGTTTTCTGTCACACTCAAAATCTCCCTTCCTCTCAACAGGAAAATATCAGAAGACTTTCAAGAATCAAATAACAAGGCAGTGCACTTATCAGAAAGGAAGCTGAAACCAAAATCAGGGTCTTTCTAACACAAGATACCATCAAATAGGAGTTAGTGAAGCTACAACATTAGAAAATAGATAGAAAAAGGAAACATGCAAGCAATAACTGTTTCAAGCACTTTGCCTTGCGTGTCAAGTGCAAGCCATTTCTGAAGAATTCTGTTGTTCCTTTTGAAAATCAACTTCCTATGTCTTTGGAACATCAGTGCTTGGATCCTTACACAAGGTCTGTGCACTCTAAGAGTTGTATAGAATAACTTAATAATTGGAAGTTTCTCAAAAGAACTTCAAAAGAATTTGTTTTCCCAAATCTGGGAGGCTAAAAGCTGGCCACTTTGCTTTCAAAGACATCTTTTTATACTTTCTTGGGCACAAGTTCTTGTGCCTTTTTTGATCCCAGTGATGTTTTAAGGGGTCACATTATTTGAGTGTTAAAAACATTCTGTGAAAGTCTTTTCGAACCATAATCCTTATGTCCTTGGCTTATGCTGTCCAAAAATTTTTTATCCAGACTGTCTCACACACTGTTCTGTCCCCCTTAGTGACACCCTTCACAACTTGTTATCTATCAGTGAATTAAAACTGGAAAGGACTTTCACAGTTTAATGAGAATCAGCATCATAATAAAAAATTTGGGCATTGCAGCACTTTGAAGGGGTTTTCTCAGAGAAATCCTGTAGGCTACTTTTTTTTTTTTTTTTTCTTCAGGCAGTTCACTCTTTTAGTTTGGTTGAAAATGACCTTGAAGCATTGCATTATAAATATACAGATTTTTATTCACTAGATTTCATAAGAGACAGTTATGGGGAAAATAAATTCTAACCCTAAGACTCCTAAGATAATATGTACTATTCTCAGCACTCTTCTCCTAAGGAGAGGATAACAAGATAATAGGGAGTGCATAATGGTCTGATTCTGCCTTGTTTTCTGAGTACAGTGTTTGACTGAAGTAAATTTTTTCCTGAACAAAACAAACCTTGTAAAGTGCTCAAGAACTGAAAAATATTTCACTGGTCAAACTGTATAATAGGTTTTGTGGTTTTGGGGGATGATTTTCAGTATTTTCTTTCCCATCAAAGCCAGGAGCAGTAGTGCAGATGGTGGCTTGTATTCAGTTGTTTGCTCAAAGTCTAAATCTCGACCATTATAAAACAAAGAAAAAAAAAGTTTGGAGCAGTAGTGTGTTAGAATAGACCTCCTTGCACAGTATCTATCACAACATACCACAAATCTAATCATTGCCATAATTAATGATAATGAATAAAGTCCCCTCTAGTGGAAATTTCGACAACTTGGGTCCAGTGAACTTTTTTATTTTGCATTCTTCTAATCAATCCTAGGCTTCTCAAGACAGAGTTCTCTATGTTGCCAAAGAATAAACTTCTCCAGTTAATAAATTCATTTGCTTGGTAAATTAACGTTTATAGGTCAGGATAAGAGGTGACATTTTTTATTTTTTATATACTGCTAATTTTATGTATTGTGATAAAGAAGTAGAAAGAAAACTGTTTGTATGCCTATTTTATTCTTGACTTTTGGTGTACAAGTCTTAATATATTTTCCTTTAGAACTGAACGTGGGATTCTTCTCGCCTGTCTGTTCTAGAGGCACATCTAAACAGAGATTTATTCCAGTTACGTTACTATGGGATGGACTTCCTGACACACCTATCTTTTACTCAAGAAGGGGCTAAGGCAATTAAGTCATACCATGCATTAACTTTTAGACAGCTAAACTTAGATGATTTCTACAATAAGCTTTCTTCTAGTTAATAAGACTAAGAATATGAATTTGTAATTCCTACACTTCCTTGAATAAGTTCTGTGTAACCTTTTGCTTTATTTATCAGAGATTATTATTATAATTGGAGAGCAGAAGCAGTAACAGTTTTTACTGTTTGGATTATTTTATTTTCATCTTATGTAGTTCTGCAAGCACTGGTATTTTTTAAATCAGTGTAAATAGGGGAAATGCTTTCTTTGCTTACAGATCACATCATGTTCCCTGTCTTATTATTGCTGTTGCATTTTAATTTAATGTTTAAAACATGAAGAAATTATGTTCTAATATGAGCTCCTAAATTCATGTATACATTTACCCAATACATTTTTGAAAATATGTTAATGTTTTTCAAAAGGAAAAAAAGAGATGACTGAAATAAAGCCCTTGTCTTAATTTTAACAAGAGAAGCTAAAAAATGTTGACAAAATAAGTTCTTGCTTTATATAAAAGAAGTAACTACTCTTCTTATTAAAGACAGGGATTTTTATTTTGAAATGAGAGGGGAAAACAGGTCAGCAACATCATACTGAATAGCTACTACACAGAAAAAAAAAAGCAAGTTACAGGTCTTGAATGTTTAGGGTTTTTAATAATTCAGTACCTGTGGAATCCAGGCCATGTAACAAGGGAGAACAGACGACACACTGGGAGAATCATGCAGATTTTCTGAAAGTCGATTTCCATCAAAACTGCAGCCTTCCAGTTGTAAGCCACTGATCTGCCACAGGAGTATAAAATATTCAAACACATTTAACAGACTTGAATTGTCCACAATGATTACACTGTGCTTTAATAAAAGCTGATTCTTTATTACTACGACCAAATTCTTAAATAACAGGAAACTAATTATTGTAAAATAGGAAACATGACTTAAAAGCAAGATTTGGACCATCCTTTGGCATGAACTTCCTCTAATTTGGACTCACATTCTTTGAAATGTGAAATACCTGTAAATGTCATAATTTTTGAAATTGCAGCTGCCTACCACTAGATTAATGGAAATACAATAGCAACAGCCAAGTACATAATCACCACAGTGTCAAGAAGAGAAGAATGATCACTGAAAAAAGTGTGACTTCCTGCTTGGAAGTCTGATGACAGCTTTCAAAGAACGGAATATGCAATCAGGCAGCTTCTGTAAAGGTAAACAAAAGATACTGAAAGAATACGAGAGAAAATTTTAATTAACATAACTCAAGATTTCTTAGATAAACTAGTGTTTGGGAAAATCCCACTTGTTGCTATAAGTAACTACACAATGCTTTATCTATAATGATTTAAATGCTTTCTTTTAATTAGTAAGTATTTTCAGGCTCTGAACAAAACATTCTTTTTTTTACTTAAGTCCTGCATAAATTAACGACAAAGATATCTGTTTTGGATTTTTTCCAAATAAAATTCTCATTACCTGTTGATAATTTTATTTTCCCAATAAATATAATAATAGCTTGTCAATATAAATAATAATAATTGTCAGTTTGTTCTGCTGAAGTAAGAACTTCAATTTTAGCAACAATAAAACTTAGCTCAGTGATAACTTTTGTGCAGCTTTTCAAAAGGCTAAATCTTAAGGTGGAGCAGATGTCTAACAGAAGCTACTATCTGAAAATCACCTGCTTGCTACACCATCACTCTAAAGCTACAAAAAGACACATACTAATGAGACAGGCTTCATCAAATATGAGGTTCGTAAAGTGGTGTGGGAACTAGGAGCTACAATGGTGTTGGAAAATGGGTAAGTGATCACCTAACCAAAATGGACAAAGTATCACTTTCTAATATATTTTTTTCTTCTAATTAATTTTTAAAGTGTAGTAAATTTAAAAAAGTGGTTAAAGTATGATGTCACAATAAAAATGCATCATTGAAGATGTAGCAGAAATAATTTTCTTAGGTAATTACAGTACTGTAATTAAAAAGTAACATAATGGGCATTACTGCCATGCTTGCAAAGCAATGCTTCCCTCTCAAGTGTTGTGTTTTTTTGCTAATACTCTACTGATGGTATACTAGCTAAGATTGTGTCTGTTTAATAACTCGTTATCCTTTTGCTCATTGACAGCATCGCATTCTTGAAAAATGTGCTTCTTTAAAGTCATATTTGTGTTCTAACTCTGAGCTGAGGATTCTTCCTTACCATGTGCAAGACGCATACTTACATATATTCCAACATGTACAAAAAAATTGTAAAAGATTGCTTATTAAAAAGCAGCAGAAAAAAAAGCTGTTTCACTTTGAGCAGACAGTGACCAGAGAAGTAGCAATACTCTTTAAAGCAATCTGTGCTCCATATAGACTAGGACTTAAAAGTAAAGCCTCAGTAAACTGTAGATAATCTGAACCAAAACAACCTGAAACGGAAAGCTCAGAGTAGTCTGAATTTTTAATTTCCACAAATTACTATAAGAAGCCCTAAATGAAATTAACTAAATTTTCCAGACTTTCTATTTGTAACTGCAAAAACTTTTTTTCTTCTTCAACCTCTGATCAAAAGATTAAGGTCTTTTCTTCATTATTAAAATGTGACACTCCTCTCCCTTCTCTTGCCGCATTTATTGAGATCTTGCATTTGAATCTTCTCTAAGATTTTCAGGTCTCTTGCTTTTAAGGTGCAGTGTTAAAATTTGATATTTTGTACCATTTTTTTTTTCAAACTCAAAATATCTTCACACAGGTATTTTGGAAAAAAAGGGCTTTATCTAGTAAAAGAGAAGTTTGTTTGTCAATACATTCCAGTGCCACTTCTATCTTGCAAGAACAAAGAATATGAGTAAAACTATCATAAAAGGCACAAAAGGAACCAAGTGTTATTAATGATTAGACTGAGGCTTTCCTACAGGCTCCTTCATACTGCTCTCTGTTATTAACACTGATATTTAAGACCTCACTTTATTATAAGCATAGATCCTAGATTACACTTTATCTCACTACACTTCTGCCTGAATGCTTTCAAAGCTTTTATTCACCTATGTGACACAAATATTAGAAAGATTAATCTCATAAGTTCTTTCTGTCCTTCCTGCACTTGGCAGGGAATTTTGTCACAGAGTTTAGTTTGATAAACATGTGAACTTGGCAGTTATTGAGGGATCACTGGTCTGATGAAGGGGTTTTAAAAAGTATTGTTTGGGTGTTCAAAGGTCTGGCTATCCTGAACATCTGTAACAGAAGTTTCTACAGAACTGGGTCACCTATTGAAAAATCTCTTTCTACTGCTCACACGATTCTTCTTCTGATATTGGCAGTTCCTTTGACATTATGGTTCTGTAAAACAACATTATTTAGTCTCCTAGAAATTTTCAGCCAATCATAGAAACTCCTTTGAAGATGAAGACCAAAATTTTTACTTTGATTCAGTATTAAAAGACACTGAAAAAATACAACATTGGAACAATGTACTTTCAGATACTGTCTGGCTGTGTATTCCACGTTCATATTTCTATGATAAATGGTGTAGAGAAATTACTACTATGAAGGACATGGATTTCACAGTATCTGTAAGTAGCATCTATAATATTTTTGTAAATCAGCTCAGAGTAATGGCTGGAGTTGATAATTTCAAAAAATTTAATTGATAAATTAAAAAAATTTAATTCTTATGAAGCATTTGGCATTTTGCAACTATTCATACAATTTTAGTTTCAGAAAAGCTATCGTCACACATTACAGATGTCTCTTTAAAATATATTTGCAGAAAACGTTCTGATACCATGGTCCAAAGCATGCCTGTTTCCAAAATTTCAAATCCTCTACAATTAATTTTTCCTTATTAGTTAATGCCATAATTTCCCATGAAATGGTACTAACTACATCCTACTTCAGGAATTCTTATTTTCACTTCATTACCTCTATAGACCTCCATCATTATTTTCTTGATATGTCAGAATGGCGATGTACTTGAAAAAAAGACCTCTTAAGATGCCTTGTAATAATATTTCTAGTTAATTGTTAAGAGCATAGTTTTGATATTAATGCTGATATTATGTGTTTGAATATTATAGTCTTGTAATAAATTTTTGTTTTTCACTATTTATATTTTTTTACCCAAGCTCATACCATGTTTCTTTCTTTCATTCTTTTCTACTGTAACAGAAAATGGAATGCCAACAGAAATGACTTCCTGCTCTTGTACAACAGCACAAAGCAAATAGATGTATTTGCATATCAATATGTGATTATATTGCAATAGCCATATATTTTCAGTATCTTTTGTTAAAGCAATCTGAGGTGATATTAAAGAAGGTGTAATTTTATAAAGATTTGATTCTAAAACAAATATTCATCACATCCTACTAGGAGAGATCTACTCCACATCATGTCTAAACTAACACCTGAATTAACTCGGATAATTTAACATCAGATTGGATAATCCACTCAGATTCAGGTGTGTTCTTGGCCTGGTTGAGTGTCCCTCTGCCTACTTTGTAGTTAGACCATCAGTTCTAGCACTTCATACTTCTGACTTACAGAGAATCACAGGTTATATTACTTGAAATTTTTGGCATATAAAGATCATTCCAAATGTCTACAATTGTGGAAGACTGATGCCATTTTTTTAAAAGTACTGGAAGAGTAAAAAGGCATTTTCATCACAGAGCTTATAATGACTTTTCAACCTTCTTTTCCTTGTCGAACAAATCCTAAGCCATCCATCCAAAACTTTTTAAATTAAAGGCATGGAAAAAAAAATCTCAAAGAACATGTCTTCAAAACAGTCACTACTTGACAGTATGACTAAGGATGTTATATAAAATAGGTGTGAATTTTAGATTTACATCTGATGTTCATCTGCATTCCTAATTGTTTTAAACCTTCAACAAAGATATTCTACCAGAATAATTAAATATCCCCTGATTCAGGGAGTTGAGCATGACTCTCCAGATCCCAAAGCAGAGTTCCCCCAATCATGTGACTACAGAATCAAGTCGCTCAGTGGAAGCAGTCACACAATGGGAACAGCACCATCAGTGCTAACTGAGACTGACAGACCTCAGAATAGCCTGTACCATGATCTGCTTCTTGCAGGGAAGGCGAGAGATCTTATTTTAAACTACAGTCTGAATCACATGAAGAAGGAACATGCAGGATAAACAAATCAAGTCTTCTGACAAATAAATTGTCAATTACCAATTCTACCGATTATTTTATCACAAACTCTGATAGTTTGAAGATCTATCTTACATAAGAAGAGTGTGGCTTAGCAAAGAGAAACGAATGAAGGGTCATGCCACTTCGATAATAATCTGAAGACCTGAAACTTGTTAAATGGAAGGGAAATAGCAGGATTGAGTATATCTGAGTTTATTTATGCAGCCGTATGATCAGGCAGGTTCACAATACCTCATAATGAAAATAAAATTTCCAAAGGCAACAAAATCAAGTTATTTGTGCAGACACAAAAGTATGTCTATGCATATATTCTACTAACTAAATAAATTCATCGATGCATACACAACAGGATGCCAAGAAACATTTTATATTCATGTCAGTTATCTTATTCTGCACATAACTAAAACAGATCTCCTTTTGCTCATGAACTGAATTTTTAAATGGGAAAAATTTCTTGGTAGCCTTATTTACAGATAGAAAGACATCCAACGAGGAAGTAACAGTTAAGTATAAGGCTGAGATACATAACATGAAACTTGTAGCAGCCCAGTTCACTGAAAATCACATGTACTTAACTGGATCATGTGTAGCCTAAGCCAGCAAAAATAAGTATGTTATTGTTTTTCTAACAGTTTGCATCTTATAACATCCTGTTTGATTACACTTTTGTGATCTAAAGTCAAGTGGGATAAAACAGGGTCCCAGCTACCTCGCCACAGCATGTGCTTTAACAAATTATCTGTTTAGCTGACTGAATTTTTTTTTTGAGACTCACTCAGAATAGCTTCCCATTCTATAAGGTTAGCCTGAATTCTTGAAACTGCAGATAAATCGTTAACTTTATCAGTATTAAAATTCATATTGCCCATGTGAACCAAGCTTAACATGCAATCCAGAGGAACCTTATCAAACAAGACACATTTTGGAGGATGATTTTTCTGAATCACTGACATTTTTATGCCCTAGTTACAGTCCACGTGGTATTAAGCTTTACTAATGTGAAAGATTCTCCCCAGGTCTCTATAAGCACAAGGAAGGACTATGGAAAAGAATCTAAATATTCAGCATGGCAAGGGGTTCCAAAGCCTTTCTGAACATCAAAGGTTTAAAGGAGTAGTGAAGATACTGGTGAATACTTCCTAATACAGATTCACTAAATATTGTTTTTAGTGAGGAAATTATAATATTCAAATCAAGGGAGTAAACTTGACAGGACCCTTTATGAAAAATAAACACTCATTTAGCTGCTTCCACTATTCCTGTGGCAGAGAATATGTTCTTAAACAAAATTGTCTTTTTATTTTTGACTCCTCTTGGAACATAGACTCATTCTTGTGAAGCAACAGAGATATATGTTAACCTTTCTGCCTACCTACATATAACAATGACTTCTAACAGTGCATTCTAACTAATATTGCCCAAAATCTACCATATAAATTTGCACATAACAAAAAATAATAAGCCTCAATACATCTAGCTGGAGAGTTGTTATAAAACTACTTCCTCTAATTACCCATTAATTCTTTATTTTCCAAGCAGTTATTTCAATCTAGCAATTGTTAAATACTGTGTTTCTTCAAAGATAGTAGATGACTTTGAAGAAGTCTGGGCTTGTAGAACCTGGAACTGATAGCCTACTAGAATGACTGGTTTGAGATATGAAACTCAGTTCTGGCTCACAGCTATGGACTTAGAAGTCTTGGTTGAATCTGGAATACCAGAAGACATGATTTGCAGACTCAGATTTATTGGATCCCAGGTTTATCTCAGGGTACTGAACAGTCCTAAAAGTCCCTTGGTTTATTTATTTCCAGGTTCTAGACTCCCCGCTGCTTCTCATTAAATGAAGCAGACAACCATTACACTTCTTTAAATACCAAGATTGAATAATGTTTTTAATTATATTTTCTCTAGTTTCAAAAGGAATTAATTCAACAAAGTTCAAAAGACTTTACTGTATAAAGGTCAGAGTAGATGATTACACTTATCTTTTCTGGCCTTACAATATATTAATATTTTAGGAATGTGAAATCTTACATATTCTGTATTAATAATTTCAGCTATTGTCAGGAGCCAACCCAGAACCCTACTGTGTCCCACAGCCTTATGTCTGCCTGCATTATCAGACTACAGAAGGTGTCTGCCACTTGGATTCTCTCCCCTTAGCCAGCAGTCTCTCTGCTTCAGCTGCACATCATAGTCACGTGGTGAGTGCCCTGCATTATTCACCTATGGTTCTGTAAGAATTCAGTTTTAAGTGCACTTCAAGCTTTGCAGTGTTATCGTGGGACCAACATAACCTCTTGGAAGATGCAGCATAGAAAACTTGTTTTGTGAATTCCCTAAAAGATTAAGTGTAAAACAAGTGCAAGGAGGTGTGGAATCAGCCAAAGTGGCAGTCCCACCTGAAATGTTATGAAGAAATGTTAACTAAACCGTTGGAGAATCCATCTCTGCTTTGCTCTCTAAGCAACCCGTAGTGACTTTATGGGGGCTGGCTGTAGCCCTAAATCTCCATTAAGAAATTGTTGGGTCTTCATCATATCAAAAGCTAGTCATATGATAGTTCACTTTGGTTTGTTTCCTTCCTTAGAAGTCTCTTTTCAGTAATTTGATAAATGCTCATACATGGCCTTAGACTTACAGATTTACAGGTGTATTTCCTCTTGCTGCATGCCACAAGTCTTTCTGAACAATTACTGTCTCGACAACAGTTAGATATTAACTATTGGAATTGTAGCTTTAATTTTTATCTAAGAGGTAGCTGAAGAGAATAGAGCAAGAATGCATTTAGATTTAATGTTTCAAATAAGTAATGTAACTAGGGAGTGGTAAAAAGACAACTGTTTTCTTCCTCCCATTTCTGTGGAATTTTTACACTAGCGTTTTTTTTGTACCTGTATACCGTTAACCAGCCTTTTTATCTCAGGTATACCAACATATTTATAGCTGCATTTTCCAGAAACTTTACAGACAGATACTTGGACTACACCAATGAAACATCCTCATAAAACACTAGTAAGAAATAGTAGTAGAATACCTTAACTTGGAGTTTGCCTTCCTGTATTCGCCCTTTCCATGATGCTGTAAATTTAAGACTGTCCACTGAACAGCTGATTAGTCTACAAGAGAAACACATACAGTAAATCTTACAGACTTCTAACAACAAGAAATGAAATACAAACCCAAAAGCAATGTATTTTCAACATGTAGCATACCATACTAAGTCTTACTTTGAAGAAAAACACATATTTAATTTTATCCAAATTTGTTTTTAATCAGCATCGAAACAAGTAACTCACAGCTATTCTACTTTAGTGCAAGTAATAAAAATCAGGTGACTGATGACAGCAATTGATATAATTTGTTGGATCTGTGTCCTGAAAATGAAATAACCATCTTTACGCATAGGGAACAATGGCACATTAGCACAAATAGGTAGATTATTTTTCCCTTACCTTGCAGTCTCCTGGCGTAAGGCATTGAGAAATGTGTCTGGATGAAATAACTCTGAAAGGTCAAGGGTGTCTGACAGTAGTTTCTGTTTCTCGGCTTTTTCTACCCAATTCTAAAAGAGAAAAAAAGAAAAAAAAAAAAGAGTCCTGAAGTTGTAGTCTGTTCTTTCAATATATTGAGTTAATGTGGGTTTGTCAATTATAATAGTTACTGAAAAATGTTTGTGTATATATAGGGTGACTTCAAAGAATAATATTAATTTCAACTATTTGAAAGTGGCAAATGGAAAATTAACATAATTTAAAAGTGTAAAAAAACCAGCACTTTATGTGTAATGTGACTCATCCATATTAAATAAACCTCCGTTCCATTCTTCGTTCTGTGCAACTCTGTACAATGAAACTTTTATCAGAGAGTTTATGTTTTCCATCAAAATGGTTGTCATTACTGTCTTTTTTCTCATGCCACCTTGCAATCTTGATAAAACATGTCTCTTAGGTAATGAAAGCTAACAACCTCAGATGAAAGAACATTTTACCTTCACATGAGCTATTTAGGCACTTCAGTGGCTATGCAACAGTCTACACTCAAAATCATATTTTTTGAAACTTTCATACTGTATATCTTTTGTACAATTTCTTTGCATGGCAGAGTCACAGTTTTGACTATAGTACTCTAGTTAAGTGACTGTATAACCTGCTCTGTTATGAACAGCTGCAAGCCACATGCTTCTGCACAGAAAGATTAATGTTTAATACTAAGCCAGAAAATAATAATACTAATATTCCACATACTATCACTTAACAGAGAAAGACAAACCATGCTCCTCTCTGAATACCAACAACTAAAGATTCTGAAATTACTCTAGTCACAGAATAAAGAAACTTGGAAGGTACACTCTCATAACACAATACACCTGCCAGGCATCCAGATCTTGTTTAGAAAGGACTTTACTGTATTTTTTGAACACCTGACAGATGAATAACTCCATAGAAGCATCCTGGAAGTAATAAAATAATCCAAAATACAAGTAAATATCACTCAGTGAATTTTGTCAGTCAGACACATCTCCATAACGTTTCCACATGTTCAAACACTTATCAGTGATCTTTTTGTCTGTCACATCACTGATTATGAGCCCTCAACCTAAATGATTATGAATCAGTTAGGAGATTTTTGCTTTCCATTTTCATTAGCTAAATGTACACAGTTAATGACTCTTGTCTGCATGATTCTTTTAATGACTTTATATAACAAACTCTTTTATTATATAGCAGTAACTCTGCATTCTAGTTAGGATGGAATTTGTACATTGTTTTGTGTAATAAAAGTAGGCAATCATTTCAACTATTTAATCATTCTTTTGCTGTCATCAAATCAACTTTTAATGTAAATGCTAAAAAGAAGCACTGCCAGGAACATAGATGCTTATATTCCACCCAATTAGAAGACCACTATGGATGATCATAATTCTGAACTCATATAACTAAGCAGCACTAGCAAATATACAATCACAGAAACTTTCGTTAGACCACAAAACCAAAGTTTGCAATTGCTCATTCTGCTCTACATAAAGTTGAAGACATTGCTCATTTGCAGCTGTTTAATAAATGACTTGATTTAAAGGCAATATAAACGGTGATAAAATGTAATTTACAAAACAAGTGTAAAAAATACCCTTATGCCTATTCCCCTTTACATCTTATATGACCACATGGCAGCATGTTAGTGAAGTGGTACAGTCTCAAAAGACAGCAACGCTCTATTAAATGGCTCATTTGTCACTAGTACATCCGTGACAATGCCATTATGCTTGGAAGACAGAGGTCTTGAAGGGAAAAAACTTTAAGCTAAGCTGTACAAAGACTGAAGTGATGTTTCTCAAAAAGGAAAAATCCTGTAACAGATTAGCGATAATATCTTCATTTCCCTCTCCTGTCCTGACTTCACTAAAAATACACATTGACTTCATTTGTCAAAGTGACACAAAGCTGTTTGACTTCTTACTGATCTTGGATAGCCATGTAGCATTTCAGTCAGAAGGGCCTTCTTCCATCACCAGCTCAGTAGAGAACGTTGTCTCTCCTGCCAGGTAGGCAAAAAAAATCCATGCATTGGTCACTTGCCAGCTGGATTACAGTCAGAAGGCTACCATCAGCTACCATCATCCAGGACGGTGCAAAATCTAGCTAATTGTCTCTTTGTGACTCAGGCCAATACGCACGCTCTCCCAGCTGCTCCCTCGCTCCTACGTCCCATCATATGGTCTTTAACTCGTTTGCTGCAATGCAAGATTTCTTTTTCTTCTTCAAAACAGCTAATAATCAAGATCTAAACTCACTTAAACCAGCTTTTATTGTATGAATTAATGATACATATTTGGTTAGATATGGTTAGTTATTACATCTGAGAAAAGGCAACTGGAAGCTGAAATGGGTTATAATTTATTTTAAAATAAATTTACTTTATATCAATAATTTCTGTTATACCAGTAATGTAGTCTAAAAATCCAAATATGCTAACCTTGCAAAGTTTTATATTAGACAATAAAATAAGAAATCTATCATACTTTCTTCTTTGTAATTGTTTATTTCAATATTTTAGTATTTCCCGAACCTTTCTTGTTGTAATGAAACTAGAAATTTAAGTTTCAACTGTCCATGATAGACTAATTTAGTATATGAAGATTATACATATAATATAAAAACTTATCAGCAATTCCCAAAACGCTTGCAAAGCAACTCCTAGCTGGATATTTCAAAACTTAATGTGAGGTTCTGTTCGATATAATAAAAGGATGTTTAAATTTTTTTTTTTTTTTTACAAATGTATCTCTAAGTGTGGTCTCCGGTGGTTCAAATATTTTTTCATATCTCTTAACATCCAATAAGCATTTATTCAGTTTTCAGACAGAAGTTTTCCTTATCTTCTATAATCCCAAAGCAAACTGAGCACCTCATATTCAACAGTGGAAGGAGTAAAGAGGCTGCCAGATTTTCACATTATCATTTATACAACTTTAGGATCACAAAACTCTTCTACAATGAATCAAGTACTTTACCTATTTTAATTAATTCCAAAGGTATTCTCTTCTACCGTGTTTTACTGTTGATGTGATCCCAGAAGTAAAATTTTATTGAAAGAGAAAAGCATACAAATCACTACAGAAGTGATCTCATGTCTGTGCCTTGATGGAAAACTGTATCCAGTGCTGTATGAATATGCATAGACAGCAACTACAGAGTACAACTCTGTTTTTTCATGAGTTTTAGATGAATTCACAGTTACTAGGGGGGGAAAAATCAGGACTTAGAACAAGTCTGAGAGCAAGCAATGGTGAGTAGCACTGCTATCCAGTTAACCAGAGTCAGTTTAAGCAAAGGTCAATCAAGCCATGATGCTGGAGTCCTGTTCTCACAGTGCAGTGGCTGTTCCACAGCTGTGCTCCCAAGTGTTGGCGTTCAGCAGTAAATGCCTGCAGAAGTAATTGTGTAACATTCCAAAGAAATTAAATAGAAGTATTTATTTCTGGCACTGAGCACAGAGTACTTGCAGTTTTTCAGGAGTAACTGGCATACAACAAATTGCTCACTTGTAATTTCTTCTGCATGTGAAATCCTTGAGCTAGTACTCTTGAGCTGGTTATCCTTTATTAAGTGAACATGTGAATACTGCAGTATTTCAGGTATGTGATAAGGTGTTAGCACATACTATCTTTCAAATGGTAAATCACACAGGAAATTTTGATTTTTATTTTTGTTTTACACTAGGTTTCTTTTCTTATCTTTCTTTTTTTTTTTATTATTTTTTTTTTTTTTTTTTTTTACATTTTAGAGCATGCAGACCAAAACTGCTGGCTTGTGTTTTAAATAAAATACAACTATTTCTTTATTTCAGTTTGACACATGCCAGAGACCCCTTTTGTTCAGGAAGTCCGGATACTAACACAACAGCACAGTGTTAGAGCATAAAAATTCTGAGTCCATTAGCATCAACACACTAGGTAACGGTGTGCCAGAAGCAGATGTGCTAGCTGAGAGAAGCACTGGCAAATGTGTCTCACTCTGGTTACTGTAGTAATTTATTTTTATCAAACCAGGAACTTAACTTTGGATGAATTGCTGTTTCCTACATTTAATAAGGATGCCAGAATGATGACACTGCATAAGAACTGCAACATCATACTGCTAAGTTTGTGACTGATGCATGCAAAAAATATCTACTTTCAGATATTTTCTATACAATCACTAAACACAGAATCCCATTACACAATACTTCTATGCTTCATAGAAACGAAAAGACTTCTAGTCTTTTCTTTCTCCACAACTAAATACCTCAGATACTAGATTACTTTTGCAGTTACCTAGAATACAACTGGGTAAGGAAGCAGGAGAGCTGAACTACTCCCTAGTAGAACCAGAAACTACAAAATGTCCGTGGAGTTTTATTTTAATTTTTAACTCTTTATCAAACACTTATTTTCTGTTATCACCCCATCTTGAAGCTGTCAAGATTCAGAGAAATCTCTCTTAAGGTTTAACCTAACTCTCAAATATGTATACGATGTTTCTCAAACACACTAAAGCAACCTATTCAGAAGCTGTTTAAATCTGTGAGGACCATTTCCCTAAATGCATCACAGTGAAAAGGCAAAGAAGAAAATCTCTTTTTCTACAAGGAAAAAGACGTGACAGATTGGAGACAGAATGGCTGATGCAACCCCAGTTTAAACATAGGAACTATATGACTGCATGGCCCTGTCTGTCATGTGGCATCGTGGGACACACTGTGCTGGCTCATGCTAAAGCTACTCCCACTCCATTGAACAGAACACTGCAACATGGGACTGCTGCTCAGACTATCAAATGGTTTGTTCAGCAAAGCATAACTTTGTGTAGACACAGAAATTAATTAAGATTTTTTTTTAATTGCTGTAATAAGCTGGTACAGATTGTTGTTTGTTCCTACGTCATAAGGCCAAGGCATTTAGAGTGAAGGTACCTCAAGTACAGTATATGAGCTATTTGATGCCCATCAAGCCTGCCTTTAAAACCAGAGAGGGAATTCTTTTTATTGTGGTCAACCTTATCATCCAGGCTGTAGGTCTTTTTC